TACCAGCAGGTTAATAAAGCTGATAAGGAAGGCGGAAAATGATGCACAGAGAGTTATGAAGTCAAGAAGACAAGGTAAGTGAATATAAGGGGTACTTTGATGGGGGATTTTAGGAATATTGTTATGAAGAAGAAACAAGTTTAAATAAGGATCTTGCAGCTCAGTTGGAAATGATCAAGATATGTGCAAACATGATAGCAAGGGAAAAGAGGAAAGGTCCATTCTGAGATGTGACATATATTAGCTCCAACAAAAAGGTGTCAGAGTTAAAACCAGCCTGGATTAAGGATTATCAAATACAATTTACTTGCAAGTGATACAGAAACTTGTCAGAAAAAAATTTGGGGGGATTTTTTTTTTTTTTTGGGGGGGGGGGGGGGTCACCCAGAAAATAAGGAATGGCTGATCCTTTGTAAGTCCATAGTGCCTGGAATCTGCTCCTTTATCACTTTCTTGCAGAAAAAAAACCCCATCCCTCTTTCTGATTGTGTACCGGACAGGGCACAGACCCAGGGGTTGCTGCTCCCAGTGCTATTGTCGCAATTATGTTACAAAGTATTCCTATTTTATTTGCTCTTAGTACTTAAACAGAATTTGCATCCAGAAAATGAAACATCGGTGCTGTGAAAGAAGTGATGAAGAACTACTGCATGGATATGGAGCATCAGAATCAAGCCATGAAGCTGTCAATAAACAAAGGAAAATCCAAGTCTCATATTTCAAGTATTTAAAATGACATTTTGTGTTCCTTCTCTTCTTATTTTAGAATGCTCCCACAGCAACCAGTAAACTAATTGGTTTTAATTTAAGTTGGCAACAAATTTCACATTGTAGTAACATACATATGCTGGGGATCTTAGGAATAAAAGGGAAACATTAGTAATCATTGATTCCTTTAAAATGGAACACATGTCAAATACATGTTTACAGTAGCATCAAAGAACTATGCACACTACAACAGGACTCATCTGGGGCCAGATGGGAAACCACAAGAACGTTCCCAGATACAGAAAATCCCTCTTGCTCTGCTGCATAGTGGTAGCACAGGCAAGACCTAACCACCTACACCTCTGCTGCTAGCTGTCCTTGCTGAAGAAATGTCAGGGAAAATTGCAAATTCAGAACACAATTAGTCAGATTTGCAATTCTTTTTCATCTGCAGTGAAAAATAGTTACATGACTAATTGCAATTCTGCTATCTATGAATAGGATTCTTCCAAGATGTGTTCTCGAAGTCCCTCATGGCTCCTTTATGTTGCTTTATGACTGACTACTGCAGAGAGAATTTGCCCCTTGATGAATCCATCAGACACTGTCCCAATAGAAAAAATTCTTCACAAATGAGGAAGTAATAAAAATTCAGAGAGATTCTAGGTTATTATTCAAGTAAAATAGAATCAACAAATATATTAACCTACTTTTTATTTTCAGAACATAAAACATACCAGCCAGAGCAGCTACAACTAGCTTGAGACAATTTTCCTAAGCAGATGTTGGAATACAGAATTGCTGTTTGCTTGGCGTCATTCTGATTTTTTTTATGCTTTAAACCTAATTTTATAATAATCCTCACTGCTGACCATCAGAACGCAGGGATCTCTTGTTGTATTGAATACAACCTGATCTGCTTGGCAATGATATCAGTGGAAGTTCTGCCAATGGGAAAAGGAGTGGCGTGTACCATGTGAAAAATATTAGTGCCTGGAAAAATTTTCTAACAGAAAGAAGTAAACTCTGTTCATTGTTTACATATATAAATAGTCAAAGTACGAAACAATACAAACTAGATCTTGCAACACTGGAATTAAAGGCTTAAAGAAAGATTAAATTACAGTCAAGGATCTTTTCTGTCAAGGAAGAGCTTTTGTTATCACATTTGGTCTAGCTTCCTTTTGCAGTGATTGTCAAAGCTTTTTTATGTTTCAAGAACAAGCTCACATATAGCCCAGTACTCACCAGTACAGAAGTCATCCATTCTCCTCAAGATTCTCCTGCATTCATATTCTGTCATTTATTGCTAATGGTCTAGACTAAGAGAGGCCAGGGGTATAATTTAGGTCTAAGACATGGGAAAAATAATAGTGATTTGTTCCAAAAAATAGAGAATGTACAAGGCAGACAAGCAATCAACTGCACGATGTGTTTCAAAGAGGCAGCAGATGCTGAAGAATAGCTATCGTATACTTGTGGTGATTGTGCAGCCCAGAAGGTTTGATTCCATTGTATCAGATTTGTAGTACTTGCCAGTGAACTTCAGCAGTGTGTGTATCTGTGTTCCATGTGTAAGGTTCCCATTGATTTCAGTGGGAATAATGTGCAAAGAATGAAGACAGAATATGGTCTGAAGTGGTGCTGAAATACTGCAGCTGTGATGTGTGACAACAACCATTTTATAAGAGACATAAAAATCTCAGAAATGCTCACCGAACACTACAGTCATCCACATCGTAACACGAGTACATTTTTTCACCTATGTTATGGAAAAAGATTACATATTGGACAAGCTAAGAAGACGGAACAATTCAGATAAAGCTTCAGAAAAGACTGACACTCTGGACAGGTAGAACAAGATCATGGAAAACAAAAAAGCACAACCTTTAGGATGTCTTCAGTACAAGCTACCACTGATGACAATTACAGACGGACCTTTGGCCAAAGGGTATTATATACATACTGTTAGGGGGGAAAAAAAGAAAAAAAAGATACATAACTTACTTGCAAGTGAATGAGAGGCCTTTGTTCCTGCTGCATCTCTTGGCACATTGCTCAGTGGTATTTAACAGCTTGGTTTTTACTTCCAGTGTTTTGTTTACTTTAATGAGCATCAACTCTCCTGTTTTTTTGAAGTCATGAAGAGGATTTCTCCTTTTTCCTTTACCCTCTAAGAAAGAAGAAAAAAAAAAAATCCGAAACACCACACTGTAAAGAAGAGTGCTGATATTAAAGATGGCTTTAGATATGAATAAAACTTATTAGGAATTATAGGAACACTGATACTGAAAGCATAGAGAAATTCACAACAACAAGGTTCAAGCAGATACCTGAGAAGAATTTATTATTCTAGATGGTGATCTCCATTCTTAAAACCAGGAATAATAGGAATTGTAGCAAAATTAATTTCAAATAAAGACTTGCATGATGCTAGAAAAGGGCAAGAGGAAAGTTTTTCACCCTTTGTAAAATTTGTTCAGAAACCCCAAAATATGCATGATAATAATAATCTGAGATTTTATAGATATTTCCATGAAAGACTCAAGTGTATAAGATGAACAAAGGTCATTTTGGATGGACAGAGTGTAGTTAATCAGAAGGAAAAGCATATAAATATTACAGAGAATCACTATCTGAATGCGATAAACTGTTCTTAGAACAGCAAACTTTTTATCACAAACTGTGAAAAGAAGTGGAGCCTGGAAGTGACACAAAATAATCACTTGTCCTCCCTCTGCTCCAGTGAAAACTCAGTGTGAGTGTTGCGTCCAGTTTAGGTGTGACTGAATTAGAGTTGTTAGCCTACAGAAAAGAAGACGGGGGAGGCAGAGGCCATAGCATGGAAATAGTCTGTACTGCTGCAAAGATTTCTGCAAAAAGGAACACAGTGATCTGGTTTCCATGTCTCTGTTGAAAGGCCCAGAGGAAAGAGCATAAAACGTAGCAGGGAAGATTGGCTAGAGATGTTTGGCTGAAGCGCAACAGGAAAAGTTTTTGATTGCAAGAAAAACCCACAATTTTCTCAATATGTATGTTGGGTTTTTTTCCATAGAAACCAGTCTGCCAGTGTAGGCTGCCCCATCGTCAGTAGAAGGCAGATGAGTACCTCTGGAGAGTGATTCTCCCTATTCTGACAGATGAGTAACACAGGGAGGACAAATTGCCCTTTGGATCTATTTCTCCTATTTGACTCAGTGATCCCAGATGAACTTTTTGGATTAGATGGCTAATCCAGGTAAGGTTAGGTGAATGAATCCCTCCTTAATTTACAAAGTAGGTAATAGTATTTGTCATAACTTCTTTCCGTATAACTGTTTTCACAGCTATCCTTTTGTTTTTCTCTACAGAATCTGCAACAATGATAGAACACGAATGCTCAGGATCCATTTATTAAATTTTGTCAGAGCCTTTCAAGTGCATAGTGCACTTAGGTCAGTAAATTTTTTGCTTGGTACACTCTGTGCAGAAACTCAGAATAACTCTGTAATTGCAATAGCTGAGGCTCTGAAGGAGTTACTGACAGCTCCACACATTGTAAAGCCAAATAGGGCTGAAGGGTGTTCCCTTTGCAGAACTTCCATCCTGATCATTAAGTGAGCTCACATTTTCACTGGATTCAGCTAAATCACACCTCTCAGTGGTGAGTTATCCCTAAGACACCTAAAAACACTCCCAAGACATTTAAATTAGCTTTCATCAAGCTTCAACCTTTTAAAAAAAGAAAATCAAAGGAGTCGAATATCTCTGCTGCAATGTCCCTATAAAATAATCTTCACCCCATCCTACTCTCCTCCTTTTTGAACTGCTGAAGGTGAACTGTGCTATTCCCCTGCACCTAATAGCTCACAGTTTTAACTCCAACTACAAACATGTTCAGAAAAAATAATTTAGTTACCTCCAAATCCATGTTATTATTATATGAAGAAGCTTTTGATGAAAAGATAAATGTTAATAGTTTTGGTGCTGTGGTAGTGTCCTGGTTTCGGCTGGGATAGAGCTAATTTTCTTCATAGTAGCTAGCATAGTGCTGTGTTTTGGATTTAGTACCAGAAGAATGTTGATAACACACTGATGTTTTCAGCTGTTGCCAAGTAGTGCTCAGACTACTCAAGGACTTTTTAAGCTTCTCCTGCTTGCCCAGGTGCATAACAAGCTGGGAGTACAGCACAGCTAGCACAGCTAACCCAGACTGACCAAAGAGCTATTCCATACCATATAACGTCATGCTTGGGGGGGGGTTAGTTCGGTCGGTCGGTCGTGGGGAGACTGCTCGCGGCTCGGGGACTGCTCGCGGCTCGGGGACTGCTTGCGGCTCGGGACGGGCTGGGCATCGGTCGGTGGGTGGTGAGCAATTGCATTGTGCCTCATTCGTTTTGTATATTCTGTATATTCTGTTATCATTCTCATTATTACTATTATTATTATTTTCTCTTATTAAATTGTCTTTATCTCAGCCCTCGGCTCTAACCTTTTATTTTCTTTCCGATTCTCTCCCCCATCCCACTGAGGGAGGGGGGGGAGTGAGCGAGCGGCTGCGTGGTGCTGAGTTGCCAGCCGGGTTAAACCACGACAGGTAGGGACTCATATCTGCTCTCTTAAGCATTTTCAGCTTTGTTCATTTTGGGTGCATGTGTACTGCACAAATACATTTAGGGAAATGCTGTGAGGACACTCTTGCCTTAAGTATCAGCACCCTGTTACTGGAAGCTGCTCTATTTTTTGCTGTACCTGTGATAGACCCAAGGTGCTGGAAAAAATGATTGAATCTGCTCTTTAAGACAACCCCAGAAAAACAAGTCTTCTATCAAGCTTTTGTGGTAAATTTCTCAATCTATTATCTCACAAGACGTATTTGTTAGTTCTGTGTTGTCTCAGCCAAGACTTTTATCTCAAATGGAGGTAAGAATCTGTACAGAAACATCAAAGTGTATTCTTTCAGTTCCTGATGCTAACATTACCTACTTACTGGTAATTGTCATTATCTTAATTCCTGATGATAAGAGCTTCTTAAACTCAGCAGCTAGCATGCAAGAATATGATTTTAAAAAATCAAGTAATTCTCTTCCGCCTGAAAAACATGGTTCACAGTTGTGCTGTTTTTTCTTCTTCTTTTCCTAGCAGTTGTCCAAAGAGGATTATGGGTTTGATCTTGCATTTAGCAATTCTTAACAGCCTGATTTACTTTAGCTTTCAAACAACAACATTCTATGACTTGCCTATAATCCAAAAGGCAAAGGGCCAAATGCATCTGTGGTGTGACTGTTAGAACCATCAGAATAACACAAAGCATTACTTTTACAACTCGAACAACAAAATAAATAAAAATAATTGGGTTTTTTTACTTCAAATTAGGCGCATTTATTACTAAAATCTTAAATAAAGTAGTGCCTTAGAAATCTTCCAAATTAAACATTATCATGCTATACATCAATATGTTGTAACTAATGTTCCTAATTTGTGATTGCCATTCATTTTGGTTTCCTAAACCTTAATTAATCAGTACTTTTGGTTATTTTGTGTATTTACATTTGTAGTTGAATATCATATTCTAAGAAAGTCTGACATTCCATTAATTTGAAGATAATAGCAGCTGATTCAAGCACAAAAGAATCTAGTCAAATATGAATCATCATTTTTTTCTTCAACAGACACAACCACTAACTAAAAATATTTCTTCGGCTGCCTTAAAAAAATCCTCAAAAAGGTGAGGGTGGTTCTTCTTTCTGTTTCTTAACATGACAGGAACCTTTATTGAACAGAAAAAAGAAGATCTAGGCCAGTGCCCAAGGAAATGGGAAAAAACACATTTGCTCTAGTAGGATGCAGCATTGGACAAGTACTCCATAATCTCATTTGGGATTTCCACAGTGTCCCTGCTCTTCCATTTTCATAAAATGCTTTAAATATTTACTGAAGAAAAAAGGTTCCTCTCAGTAAAAGACATTTACCTGGGCGCTACAACAATTCAAATTTGGGTTCCCTTACTACATTTTTCATTAGTTTTCTGTATAATATTCTCAGATATGAAGCATTAACTGAGACTGTTCAAACTATAGAGCATCTGGGGGAAAAGATTTCCAACAATATCTGTTCTTGGAGTAGTTCCAGTCCACGCCAAATCAATAATCAGAGATAAGGAAAATTATCATTCTGCATCGTTTTAGTGGGAAAACTCACTAGAAGGTTGCAGAGTATCTGTATTCTAGAACCTACTTAACTGCAATTTTAGTTATATTTATACAAAGTAGAACCAGTAAAACAGCAAGTACTGAAATTAATAGACATCATAATAGTCAATATCATCAAAATTAGACACTTTCATAGAATGTTTTGGGTTGGAAGGGATCCCTAGAGGTCATCTAGTCCAACCCCCCTGCAGTGAGCAGAGACATCTTTAACCAGATCAGGTTGCTCAGAGCCCCATCCAACCTGGTCTTGAATGTTCCC